TGGGCAGGGGGGTGGCACTGGGTGAGCTCCTGAGGGCCCTGCCAGCCCCTGCCGGTCTGGGATTCTGGGATTCTGTGAGACTGCGAGTTGAGAAGCTTAATGTACGCTGGGTCAGGCTGTCATATGCCAAATGCAATTAAAGTGTTGAGAGGAGCCTTGGATCCACTTCTGCCCTTTCCCTGCCAGTTCCTAGGGTTTCAGGGTGATTTAATTTCTGCCTCCCCCCAGTTTCTAAAATACAGCTTGTGGGTCCTGGTGGACCGTGGTCCCCGTAAAGATGAAGCGTCGGCAAAGTCCACCACCTGTGGGGAGGATTTGGATGGCAATAGGTTGGAGATGGAAGGGCAGCCAGCAGCGTTGGAATCATCCGATGGAGCCGCTCTGTGCTGGGAAGACACGTGTAGCCATCCTTTTCCGTTCGCTTTGGCTCTTTGATGGGCTGCTGCGTCCTGTCCGAGGCCCGACGGTTCGGGAAGGATGGACCGGCATGCTCGAAGTGGCAAGGAGACATGGCAGAGAGTGGGAAAGGAGGATCCGTGGGGAGATGTAAAGCAAATCCGGCTGGCTAAACGGAAGGGCGAGAAGCTTGCAGTGCGGGATGGGTGTGATAAGGACCAGAAGTCCTCAACGCCAGTCCTGCTGGAGCCGTGGCATCCTCTCCTCTCCAGCGTGGCTGTCACCACCGCCCGTGCTTCAATGCGGTTAAAGCGATGTAGTTAAAGGTCAGCTGGAAGCTTTTCCTCCCACCACGCGTGCTTCTGAACCGCCAGGGCTGCTCCCGGGATGTTTGGGATGCTGGTCCTTAGGCCAAGGCTGGCACAGGCGGATCCATTAGGCGGAGCCAGCTTGACTTAGACCCTTTTTTTTTTTTTTTTTTATACTGCTTTTTGCCGTTCGCAGCGGGCAGCGTTGCCACCTTGTCACACTGCCAGCAGGGCAGCCCGGCAGGCGCTGGTACTCAAAGGCAAAAATCTTTGCAAAGACCGTGCGGATGTTCTCCCTCTTTTAAATTTTCTTAGTATGAAACTACAGCGGTCTAATAAAACCTGTCGGGAGCCCCACGCGTATCTTGTAAATGGAGGGTTAACTTTCCTAGGAGAAACCAGCAGAATGTTTATGAGATCTGATTTCCCTGATGCTCATTAATCTCGACTGACTTCTGCATCGCCATGGTAATGGGCAGAGGGTTTTTACATAATTTTCTTCTTTTCATCTCTCCCCGTAAAAAAAAAAAAAAGATTAAGCGCTCCTTTTCAACCCAAACTAGACAGTGCTAAAACCTTGGCTCCTTTAATCTACTGCTCAGTAGTCCCAGCTGTGCCGTCTGCGTTGCCTTTTTGCTGGAGCTTTTGAATGGGCTCCATGGAAATAAGAACTGCCACGAAGGCTCTTTTCATCCCTCGCTGATAGCGAATGAGCAGGAGCTCCCTCCAAAGGGGAACGCGGAGCCAGAGGGATGAGTTGTGCTAGGAGATCCGGGCGGCGTGTAAGCCCTCCCTTGGGGAAACCACCTTTAGCCTTCAAATGGATAACCTTGTCTTTAGAACTACTACTTCTTTAGGTTAAGTTACCTGTTGTGGGCAGCTTTTTCTTTT